TTGTAGGAGTTTGCTCAATCCATTTAGTTTACCTGTTGCCATTCTGTTTTAGAATTTAATTGGATTTCCCTTAATTGGTAAGTTGTTGTATGCAGTTTTTCATAAAAAATGGTATATTTTTCGGATAGAAAACTAGATGCATAAATTGGGATTTTTTATGCAGTTATTGGGGGGGGGGGGGGAGAGGAGGGGGTGGTCTTGGTATTTTACTACTATCCAAGCATTGTTAGAAATGATACATTTTGTATTTTTATATTTCAAAAAGAGAGATTTTAAATATACATGTATATATATATAAAAACATAAGTTAGGTAATTTATAAGAGGAAGATTTAACATGAAATCTTTTATTAAAGAATGATTATGATGAGTAGTAGGCTTAGATTTTTCAACAGGTGTAGAAGACGGGGTAGTTTTCAAGAAATTTAAACAGTTTTTGAATAATAAAATTCAGATCAATAAGATTTTGTTGTAAACAAAATAAAAAACACACTATGACTTAATATATAAATAAATAAAAAGAAACATTGGTTTTGTTTTCCCTTCTATTTTTCAATCTGATATCCTATGTCATGTTATTTCCTGTAAATCACCTTTGTCTAGTACCTAATAAGTAAAGGATTTAAAAATGTTCAGTTTTAAATGGACAGAGAAAATAATGTGTAATTCAGTAAGCGTGTTTAAGCATAAGATCCTTTCTAAAAATGCCATGAAGATATTAGATTCTATTACTTCAATGTGATTTCATTTGAATGTCTTTCAAGTAACATCAGCTATGCATTAATTTATTACATTTTCATTGTGATTTCCACACTGGCTTATAACCTAACTTATAGTCATTACTGGCATTTCAACCATCATTAAACATTCTTGGAATTTGGTTTGAACCACTTTCTGAATTGGTGTGACAGACAAAATTATAATTGTTGCGGGAAAATAATAATGTTGTAAATAACATTATACATATGTTATGTCATTATATATACTTCATCATTTTGTATACATTATCAGAATTTATAGCTTCTGGGTTTGCAATTCATAAAAGGATGAAAATATATAATAGAAAATGATGCTAAATCAATAAAGTGTCAATATCGGTAACAGTTAACAGTTCATCTTTTGCGTCGGGTTTAAAATTGATTATTGGTGGATTTACTTCATTTGTGAGTACAGCTACGTGTTATCAAGTAAATATAATAAGAATGTATTGATGTTTTTGCTATAGACGCCAAGCTTATATACCCCATTGTTTGTTTTTTTTATCCTTCCTCAATGAAAAATTTTGTCAATTTTGTTTTTGCAACGGAGTATAGGATAATACTACATGTACTAACATATCGAAGTCTTTAAGCAGATGATATGCACACTAATAAAATGGTAAGAATAAATCTACCTTTTTAAAATATTCCTTTAAAAAGGACGTTTGGATGCGAGTGGAAAGGGGTAAAAAAAGGGGGGGGGGGGTATTAGAATTTCAGTAGATGATAGTGGTTAAACATTAATAATCTTTCTAAGATTTTCATGCAATCGAGGTCGAAACTAGGAAAGGGTTGTATTCTGAAAAGAAAAAAAAACTTGAATATCGTCTGTTTTGGTGCATAGCTGTCGAAGACTGTTTAAACACAGAACACATGCTTGATGACCCTTACTGGACTACACGAGCTGACGAACATAACACATGTTTTAAACAATTCGAATTAATGAGCGTCTTGATAGTAATTAATGTATTCATTTTAGTTTCATATTTTACATATTTACATGACCGTTCATGGGAAAGTATCGGTCCACCCTAACGTAACATTTTATTTTATTTTTTAAAAATGTCAAAAGGTGACAAAATCGATCTACTGCCACTTCGATTCTTTCATTTTTATTTGATTTCATTGGTCTTATTTTAGTCTTCTCTCGCAGAACAGAATATTCAATTCAGTTCAATTTCAATTTGAAGGGCCCTCATGGGGAAAAAAGAAAGTACATTGTAAATACTTATACATAGTCATATACATACAATACAATATACATACATACAAGAGAGAAAGATCTGCATGATTGGGAGGAAAAAGACATAAAAAAGGAATAAACCAGTTAGTTTTTATACATATATATAAGTTTTGAGCAAAAATATTTGTTTTATATATACATTATCTTATATCAAACACATATGAAAGTACACCCTTTTAAATAATTAACCATATTGCAGTTCACATACCTGACATTTAACTTATGGTAATGCCTTTTGTAGAAATCTACCAAGAGAGTTTACCATATAATTCTTCACAATTTAGAATCCAGTATAATTTCTGTTTATCAGTCAATTTTGTAAAATATATTACTTTAGATGAAATTAAGTTAAATATTTCCTCTCTTTCCTTTGTAAATTTGCTACAGTGAATAAGGAAATGTTCCCCATCTTCAATTTGATTAAGCATACAATTTTTACATATTCTTTTTGTTCTAGGTGTATTATTATATCTGCCCAATTCTATGAAAAGTGCGTGTGCTGATACACGTAATCTACAAACTGGCTTTCTGTATTCAGGTTTAAATAAAATTCGATATCTTTCCAGTCTAAAACTGGTCTTCAAAAATAAATAAGGACAAGTTTGCACTCTTTTAGTGTTTCATTTGAGTACTGCCAATCCATTTAGTATTTTTAATCTGGGACTGTTTTAAATAATGAAGTTACAAATTTACTCTTAGTATATGACATAATGTTTGGAATATCAAGAATTCTTACTAATTTTCTATGGAGAAATCACAGGCACTTGTTTCTGTAATAAATTTTTTAACCCATAGTATAATAATAACACAAGGTATCTAACTCCGAATTACACGGAGTACCCCCCTCCCCCAGAATCGCACTCATTTACACTTTCAGAGGAAATACACTGACAAACTGTTTATACCTATGTTTTCTACGATAATTTATCTACACAACCATATATGGCATGCTTGTCTTTATTTTCTTTAGTCTCCGTAAACAGCGTCAAAACTCTCCTCGTCGAGTGGAAAAGTCGAATTCAACCATGAAATGGTATGTGCTAATCCCGCACAGAGATTTTGATTGGCTAAAAATCTGTTTCTAAAATTACATCAGATAAACATCGTAATGTTTTCAGGGAAAATCAGACGTAAACAAGTTCTATTTATTCATGCAATATTTAAACACTGGAATTGAATTTTTAAACCCACTCATTTTTTAATTTTGTTCTCTGTGCGGGATTAGCACATACCATTTCATGGTTGAATTCGACTTTTCCACACGGCGAGCAGAGTTTTGACGCTGTTCACGGAGACCAAAGAAAATAAAGACAAGCATGCCATATATGGTTGTGTAGATAAATTATCGTAGAAAACATAGGTATAAACAGTTTGTCAGTGTATTTCCTCTGAAAGTGTAAATGAGTGCGATTCTGGGGGAGGGGGGTACTCCGTGTAATTCGGAGTTAGATACCTTGTGTTATTATTATACTATGGGTTAAAAAATTTATTACAGAAACAAGTGCCTGTGGGAGAAATACCAAGTTGTTTTTGGGCGAGATGAAGTTCCTTACTACATATGAATGCATAGCGAGAAGTAGTCTACCACATCTGTTTCATATTTGGATGTTTAAATGACTATAGACGATAAGGGCCATCTAACAAATAAATTGTACGACAAAGGAGATGACTTCAGCTTTTCCATCTTCAACTTTCCTTATTTATGCAGTAATATTAATACCTGCACATGGTGTTTACGTCTCCCAACTTATTCAATACTCTTGAGCGTGCTCTGAGTACGATCAATCTTTAAAATCGAGGCAGGCTTCTGACAGATAAGTTGATGTTGCAGGGGTTCAACAACTTCGTTTAAAGTCAGCATTTTGTAAATTTTATGGTCGTTATAATGACCTTGTTAGAAATATAACCTATTATTGGGTCGTATTTGGCTGACGTGTTTCATACCATTGTTAGGCCTTTATTTTATACTCAATTTGACTACGGAAAGTTCCGTCTACCTGATCAATTCATAGGGCTCACGGCAGGTGTGACCGGTCAACAGGGGATGCTTACTCCTCCTAGGCACCTAATCCCACCTCTGGAATTTCCGGGGATCAGTATTTTATCCCCTATTCACAGATTAGTATTGTTTGTAGATTTTTTTTAGATCGACCTCTGTCTGTTATCTTCACCCTTTCCATATGTTTATTGTGATATATAATATATAATTACAGTTCTATATCTTAGAGATGGTGATAGAAGGTTAGGGAGAGGGAAACGCCGATATAGCAAGTAGCAACAAGGGGAAAGGGGAATGAATAGAAGGGAAAAAATATGAAAGGTGGAAAAGGGAAATGATGAGATAGAATAGGAAAAGAAGAGATAAGAAAAGGATGAGCAGATTGACAAATGGAAGCGGAAGGCGGGTACATGTGTAATTATCGTACATCTCAGATATCGTATTTAGACATAAAATGCACTTCTTCTTTATTTAAATGTCTATGTAACCTTGAAATCGTGTACCTGTAGCAGTGTTTACCTTTATATAACCTTAGATGTTGTTATATTTACTGAAGCCAAAATAATAAATCGTTTAAATAGCCCCTGCTTCAGTGGAGAATAACTTTCTTTTCCTTTTCATAAAAAATGTATATCCTTGCTCACAAGGCATGTCTAGATGATATATAGATTGTATACCGATAAATATTTTTCTCACTTCCAAGGCGTTCGTAACCCTCCCTCTCTCCTTTGCCCCATCAAATACATGTATATATATATATCCATGTAGCATAAATCCCACTACAAACTATCGAAATGATAGAACACTTCTTGTAGGATTGGGGGATCAATTCTTTTTGTTATTTTATAATTCCATTATCGAAAAAGAAGTGTACATACAGACCGGATGAGATCAATAAACATTCACCTGGGGGCTTTATCAGTACTGCCATGCAGCTCCAGTTTTAAACCAAGACATTTTACCTCGCCGTATAACATCTCCTGGATAGGTTCCCCGTACAGGTGTTTTGCGTTTTATGTGAAAAATTCTCTTTTGGAGTATTATGGTCATTAATAGTTGAGGTCAAGTGGTCGATTCTAAAGGTACAGCAGAGAGAACGGATTAATACGGGATAGATTACAAAGGATCAAAATGGTGTTAACGAATTCTCAAATGGAGTATATACTCCAGTTATTCTTAGGTAAGATCTAAATTAGTGTCCTTTATGGTAACTGTGTAAATAAAGGTTTATCCTGCTATCATTCCACTAGGCGGACAATGTCTCAGAACTCTATTCATCAAATAACCATGGCAAGAATCATTGTAGAATTCATAAATGGGTTACTGTCACTGAAGCAGGCACGTAGTATCGGGGGGGGGGCAGTTTTTTCCTGACAAACATAACCTTTTACTGTTAAAATTATTTATTGAAGGGCCTGTTGGTCCCACACTCTTTGTTGCTGTATAGTCGAATCGTTCCTTGGTAATGTGTTAATTTTATTTTAATGCGTGTGAAAAAAGTTGGACCCCCCTCCCCCCCCCCCCCCAATATAGGATGGTCGAGTTTGGACTTTTTCTTTTGGTTTGTCCAAGATTCTGATTAATAAGTTGTCAATTTTTTTTCCTGGCTGGCCCCTCCACTTTCAGAAACGATAAGTAGTACTACATGCCTGTGAAGGGTATAAAACCTATGATCGAGATACTTTGTAAAAGAATTTGATCATTGTCATGTATACTCTATAGTATATACATTTAGCACCCGCTGATGTAAGCATTTCTGATGAAAATGTTCACATCTAACCATCAACTTTCAAACTTGAAATATTTCAGAAAGAATTTAGGTTTTTATAATTACCTGCAGATCAGCAGTTTGTGAGAAAGTCCTTGGTAATATCATAAATAGAAAATGCCACTTCTTCCTTACCCCCCCCTTTTTTTTTTTACACATAAACAAAGAGTACAAAAGTGTAATTGTCTTATGAGGGTAGACTGAGATCACTATGCCCATTTTCCCCCGTCTTTTCTTTGTGTCTCTACCTGTTGTAAAGAAAAGATTAATTTCATGACCTGGGTTAATTACCAGTCAAAGTTTAGTATGTTTGATGCATGAATTTATTATATTTGGTTTCATATTTTGAAAGTATTTATATGATGCTTTGAATATGCCACTCCCTACATATCAATGGTCTCGAGAATCTGTGGATATGTGGATAAGAAGTGGCCATTTGTTGTTGCTACTTTTTACTTAAATTTAGTACTCCGACATAGAGGTTTATAAACGTTTATGTATCGTGTCCTTTTAACACCCATGATCAGCATCAGTTGCAACTTGCATGTCAAAATTCAGAAAATTCAAAATGTTTGATGACATTATATTTCGTTAGTATATGTAGATATAACATTTCACCTGTAAACTACCTGAAAGATTTTTTTTTGTCCGTGGATTTTAAAATGCTTGGAAAAAATTCAACTAACGTTACTAGGATTTGTGACCCAATATAATCAATAAGAACCTGTAAGACACCCAATCTTCGGGGCCGAAGTATGGTCATTGATAATTCACCATGAACATTTTTTTTCTCTGTGATATTTTTATTGTGTCCATTCATTTTTTTAATTAGTAAAATTTTATTGTCTATATTACTTTGAATTCAAATAGTTAAAATACGTTTCAATTCCACCATTTAATGAATCCACAATATGCCCTATCCTGGAAACCCAAACTAGTGCAGAAATGTTCAACAACAGGAACATATACAGTGGACACTTATACCATCGTCTTCAATTTCCCTCGATATAATTTAATTTCTCCATCGCATGAGTATACTCTGCTCTGTTTTTTGCAAATATAACAACAAATTATTTGTCGTAAATGGGCATTTATTAGTATGCCAAACAAATTGACCAAATATGTACAAAAATTACACATGCCCATATTTGAATATATCCCTTATAAGGATATTAATATACATAACAAAAAAAATACAAATATGACGACACATATTAATTTGCTCCTCCTCTTCAATGCACATTTCCGGACTGCTTTTTTCTCCTGGTTTCCCCCCCCCCCCCATAGATTATTTTTTCTTATACAAATAAGTCAGGGAAAACGTTTATTATAGAAAAATATACATGTATACCAACTGTTATAGATCTTCAGTCGGCCTGTATTTTATTAAACTGGAAACTTTTCATGGGATACATTGTAAATATTCTGTTGATAAAAAAAAACACTGTGTATATCAGAAAAAGTCAAACATTCTCCGTATTAAAAAAAATCTAATATGAGTAAGACAACAATATTTTACTGTCTTTTTCATGTATATAAGTGGCCAATACAAAATAAAATCCTGTTGATTACAAATAATAAAATAAATTTTGTTTTTGTTGAACTTTATATAGAACATTTCCCTATTTCCCAAACTTGCTCGTCATTAGCTGCAGAACTGTAGCTCTCCGAAAAAAAATTGACAGACCGGAGAGCTACAGTGCCACCCATACCACAGAAAAAACTGTATATTTATTGCACACAAAAAAGTGCGCTGTTTCTCGATTTATTTCTCCGTATTTTTAAATTGCAATCTCAAAATATTACTGACCGTGTGTTATTAACACATTTTTGCACTATTCCCACATCAGAACATTTCCTATAACCATTGTTAATAGCACTCCTGGGCCTGAAATTAAGATCATCCACAATTTCGCCTGCTAATACTGCCATTTGGGGTGGCTAGACAATTCGGCCAAACGCGCTTCGTAAAGATGTCAACTACAAGAGTAGTTGATTAAGGTCTAAGGATTTTTTTGAAATCGAGCTTTCATGCAGTTGAGGTAATAATTTGGAGAAATAAATCCAGAACCGTCTTTTTGTGCGCAATAAATATAGTTTTTTCTATGGGTGGCACTGTAGCTCTCCGGTCTGTCATTTTTTTTTTCGGAGAGCTACAGTTCTGCACCTAGCTCGTCATGAAAAAAAAAAGTTTTGTTTTGTTTTTTTCTTGTTAACAGAGGAGGTTAACAGCCACTGGGCCAAGAAAAAGGGCACAGCAATCCAAGGCAAGGTCAACGCCTATATAGCCCTCCTCCCGAGTAGACAGTCCCTGGACAGACAAATGTCCCGACGGTCCACTACCGCCAGAAAGCGCGCTATCGCGCGAAGCAACAAGATCCACCCCGAGAAAAAGAATGCGGGACTAGAGGAATTGGAGGAGCAGGGGATTGACATCTCCACCCTGGAGGATGAGGACGATCTATACAAGATCATGAACGCCATCAAACAACTGCCCTGCCCTCTGGCGGCAAAAAGGCGATTCAGGTAATGATCATCAGTTTACGGGCATTATAAATTGGTTGATGTGTTTCGTTGATAAGAACTTGAGTTATCAGTTTTCCATGTTAGATTAGCCTGTCTATTCTTTGGTTTACCAGTTCTCGTTTTTGTTTTACCAGTTTTAGTGTCTGGTTAACCAGTTTTAGTGTTTTGTTTACCAGTTTTAGTGTTTGGTTTACCAGTTTTAGTGTTTTGTCAGTCAGTATTTATGTTACTATCCTTTTTGTGTATTGTTTACCGGTTTTACTGTTTAGAACTTTAGTCAATTTTAGTGTGTGGTTTATAGGTGTTAGTGTTTTCAGTTTTAGTAATAAGTTTACCACTTTCACAGTTTAAGTTTAGTATACTAGTTTTACTATTTTGTTTACAGGATATAGAGTTTATTTTACCAGTTAAAGTGTTTGAAGTTGACAATTTATCTTATTCTATCGATGACAAAACGACAGCTCTACCGTAGTAGTGTTTATATGAGATATGAGTTGTGTTAGCAAAGCTGCACCTGAAGGGGGAGGGGTATCTGTCCATACACGTCATTGTAAGACATCACTATTTGATGCTATTGAAATGTATATGATAGTTTTAAAGTTCCTTACATATGTAAAGAACTGGGGTACTGGTACTTTGTTTACATAGTAATTTAACTATATATGTACTCGTATAGGATGTTTTTGAAAAGTACATTTGTTTGTCAAGTTTTGAGAACTACGACCCAAGTGTCACAATACAATGAACGTCCGGATTTGTTACATATATAGAAAGGAACTTGATCACCGATGTCCGTTGTTTATGATGCTGCATAATATACTAATATACATGAGTTAAATGTCATAACTGTCCATCTTCTGGTTACACGAGTTAGACATGTCAGTTTTCAGCAACTGTTGTAAACGTTGTGGCGATTGTGATTGTCGGGGTCGAGTGGAGAAATTTGCTTTCTGGATTCGTGAGTTCAATTTCGGCACTTGTTCGAAGGAATGTAGGGTCGGTTGTCTTGCTCGATTAAATAGCTGTCGCGCTCGAATAAGGGGCGATTCAGGTAAGTTTGGTTTTGTTTTGAAAGATTGTTTCAAGAGGACTGTTTTTTTTTCATTTCAAGAGAAAATTTACATGCTGTATATCGGAGTACAGTACCTCACTTACAAATTACATGTACTTACGATATGTTAATCTTAAGAGAATGTTGATTTTTTTTAACAAATCGAAAATTAAATTTTTGTAGGAATATTCTTAGGTAAATATTATAGAATACAGTTTTTCACCATGTGTTATTTGGGTGGCACGGTTTTATGGAGCAATTATCAACTCTTTACACACTAAGTCTCAACACCCGATGAATGGTAATTAGATTATTTCATGGTATTTCCAAGCACTGTACTAATTTTTCATACATCGATTTGATTTGGTGGAAAGAGGTAATAATTGCACTGGGCAAGAAGGTCAATAAATAGCCTGCCATGGCAACACTTCCAAGCTCTCCATATTCGGTAAATGTCATTCAGAATTTGAGTTTTCACAGTTTGCACGATCATACCTTTACGTATCCCCGACTTCTTTGTAGTCTAATTAAATGGACACTTTTTGACTTTACCTGATAATGCAACAAAACCACCGGGGGGTATTGTGTTTTAGTAATTAGACACCATTCATTCGAGATCACGTGATTATGCTAGTTTTAAATCAGACAGCAGTTCCCTCAATCTTCGTGTATTTATTAACACCTATATTTGATGGATTTTACAAAATATAACATTGGGATGTATACATATATAGCTTAGAAATTTAGTTTCCTTACTGTGCTTTTGTGAAAATCTGTGGTATGCAATAACTAAAAGAAGTTTAAGGGACATTATGACTCGTAACCGCGTGTCCCCTATTGGGGAAAAAATTGATGGGTTTGGTCAGTATTACGATGACACATTACATTCCATTTCTGCAGTCAAAGTGGATATACCGGACGATAATGGGAACCAAATTAAGAAAAATCCTATCATTGAAAATGTCAAAGACTCGGGTTTACGAAGGCGCCGTCGGTCACGCACCAAGAGCGCCCATCGAGCCAGGAACGGACAGGAAACTGGGTCTAACGGGTCTGATACAGACGATGACAATATCGATGAAAAGAACGATCTCCGAGCTCGAATAGAAAACAAGAAAGGTCCGGGCCACTGGACCCCGTATCTCCATCAGAGGAGGTGTGTTAAAGCGAACGTACACGATTTTATATTGTTATATATTACACGTTATACATGTACCACTGTATTCGTATTGCTTTGTATTTTGTTTGTGTTTAAATGCATGAGCATGCAATGAACCAGGTGTCGTCTATCATCATTTCTTTCTTTCTCTTTCTCAAAAACAAAAAATTAATTTGTTTTGTTTTTCTATCTGTTCCTGCATTGATCGACCAATATTGATTATCACTCAGTAATATACAAGTGTAATTAGATTAGGACCCAAAAGCCGACCATGATATTCATTATTTGCCTTTGCACGTCACATTCATGTTGTAGTTAATTAAATCAGGAACTTAATATTGTCTTATTGGTCTCATTGAAATATTGGGATTTGTAATTGCATGGTATAAAGGAGTATTCATCTTTAAAAAAAAAATAACAACCCAGTTAGATTTAAAATGGTATTTTATTAATGTTCTGTTCTTTTACAGCTGACTATCAATGGATATAGAACTTTACAGATAACAAATTATTAATAAGCATTATCCATTATTTTATCAAAAACAATTGAAACTTTCGGATAAAATAGAACAAAACTGATTCTGAAATAGGCTGTTATTGTGAAGAGCTTACTTACTCGCTGTATTTTTACATGTATAAGTATACAATGACTTATTTATTCCTTCTATTCATTTTCAGAGAGAAATTACTCCAGAAAGAGCTGAAAAAATCTTCTGGATGTTGTGGCTCTGGCAACTCCAACAGACAGGTAAGATCTAAATCACTACAAACCACCCCCAGGCCCACCCCACGCCCAAATCAATTACAAGACAAGATGTCACACAAAAACAAAAAAACAATCACAAAGGTTAAAGCCCTGTAGATTTTAATATATTATAGAACAAAAATCTTTATATTCTCATGTTGGATATATTCTTATTGAGAGAGAGAGAGAGAGAGAGATGGTATCAAGCTTTGAAATATCAGTTTGGAAATGATACAGAAACTATCCCAGGTTGATAAAATATTAATTCACCGGATCTGTATTTCAGTCCATGGTTATTTATCGTATAGTAGAGGCAAGACGTAAAAGTAGAAAATTTGCAATACGGGCAAGTATTTAAAATATAGAAAAAAGAATGTTGAAAAATAGAAACGTTATCATACTTCTTTTTCATGATGCATGCCTATCTTATAAGATATATAGCTACCAGTATCCATACTCTCTATAGTCCATCTGTCTGATTTCTCTACCCAAGTTTGTCTCCAAAAAAGGGAATGTTCTGTATTAAAGCTATATATGGCGTATCTGAGCAAAAAAAAAATAAAAAAAAAAAATAATAATAATATTGATAAAAATATGAGATTGAGTGAAGATAAACATGATATATGTTATTTACGTTCAAATTTAAATTTTCACCGATTTTGAACTTGAATAATCTCACGTTTCTATGGTCGAATTGACCTTAAATTGTGTCAGTTATTTAAATGCGGTGCTGGTAAATAAATCGGTTATTGTTTTAAATTTCTAATATCTTTGAAACGTGATTGATTTAAGGTAGAACCTATGTCGGAAAAGTCTTTGTCACAAGATTTTCAAACTTTTCAAAATGATAAATTAGCTCTCGCTTATCAATCAGTTAAAAATATATGGTATGTTTCTTTGTTATTAAATGTAGTGCGGTCTGTGCAACTTGGAATGATAATTTTACACTGCGACTACATATTTTCAGCCATTTTTAGGGGTACTGGTCATAAAGAGAATATAATAAATCACTAAAATACTTCTTCAAACATCGTCGTTTATAGACTTTATTAACTGAACCGTATTAAGCAATATTATTCAAGAATAAATTCTTTTTTATTCAATTGACATAAAAGATTAAGTCCACATTTCAACGAATATAGGCAAATGTGCTCAATATTTTTTGAGTCAATTTACCACCTAAATTTGTAAATATTTTTCAAAAGTCTTTGTCAGAATGTTTTTAATCTTTAATATGATGAAGAACATACCCAAATAATTACAAAAAGTGATTAAAATATATACCTTTCCCCCCAAACGAATGAGAAGACTCTATTTATCCATACTTCTTTTGTTAACCTTTTTGCACTTACACAGGATTTAATTATTAAATTACTGTTTTTGGGTTACTTTCAGATTTACAATGTGAATATTTATCAAAAATGTATTTTTTTATTTAAAAAGATAATAATTTAGGGAAACATTATTATTATACACCAACCATTATGAATAATTAACAAATAATTATGATAGGGAATGCACGTCATTTCATGATAGACATTACAAAATTTACACACAATTTTTAAAAGATCTTTGACTCAGACACGTTTCATCAAGATATTGTACTATTTAGATTTCTTAGGATTTTTTATTTCCTTCAAAATAGTTGCATGTCATTCACATTATCACAGTTGTGTAACTTCATTACATGAGACAGTCTTGAAGAAAGTACGGGAAAAAGTAACATTAAATTAATTATGACGTCATAATGGATCTAGCACCAAAAAGACAGTCTAAACTCATTTTCTCAGTATGACGTCATACGACGTAGGTTCTACGTTAAATTGTGTAATTACAGGAAAGTCCAATCTGTATATAAAGTAATAAAACAAACAGAAAGATCTTTTTAATTTTAGTTAGTCCGAAATTATAAAAAAAAAATACGCCATATGTAGCTTTAACTGTAAGCTACGGGTATTTGACTGGTACCCAGTGAAATTGAAGATCTCTGAGACAGAGGTAACTCTGTAATAATTCAGCTGCTGGATTCACCCTCTCATACATGTTGAAGACATTCCCCAAACGATGGTAGTGAGGGATCAGTATACCAAATGCATGTAATTTTAGGAAGAGTTTTGTGTTTTGATATAAGTAATTTACAGGAAAAAATTAGAGTGCCTATAAACACCTGTTTTCAGCTATGATGTATTGTAGTTAGATCTTTGTTTCTCGAGATGGAAATAAAAGGATAGAAGACTGACTTTGAGAATGGAAAAAGCTATCTACAGATTCGTGTTATCTGTAAAAGACTCTCATGCACAGAAATTCCGTAAAGCTGAAATGAAAAAAAATCGATACCCTTATAGTTTAAGAGATTAATATAACCTTGTGTGTTGTCAAAACTTGGGAGAATTTGGGCAAATCAATGAAATCGTTTAATACTACCTTGTGTCCGTAAAGTGTGAATTTGAAATAAAATCTTACGTATGTATTTCTCCCCTGTTCGAATAACAACGTAGAACTAATATGCATGTATATATTGGTAAATCTTTCTGTTTATTAATATTTCAAACTTTTTTATCAACTTTACAAAATCCCCGAAACAGAGTTTATTAAAGGAGGTCTGAGCGAGAAAATCGGGTGTCATCTCTTAATAGAAATTAGTTAAATCATGTTGTGCATATTGCATAAAACATGTAATACTTCAATTTTAGTTCACTTGTATAATTCATAACTTATGTCTTTATTATACATCTTCGTCTTAATATAAATTAATAAAGAAATTATTGTATTAAACGAGAATGCTTTATCGCTTTATCTAATATATTCTACCAAAATATCTAATCGAAAGATATCACATTTTGATTCAAAGTGTAATTATTGAATGAATCAAAACACAAATTCCGATGTAATACTCATTTTAAACGATACAAAATCAGGTTATAATAAGAACACTGTCTATATATTATAGATGTGGGGAAAATCTCTCTTAATTAAGCCGTTAAATGAAGGATTCCGAAACAAAAGAAAACAAATAATAATAATGATAATTTATACATGCATGTTATGTCATAAAGCAGAATACTGACTGAATCTCTTCAATACATATTCACAATTTTTTTCAATATATACTCGTACATATATTTGTAGAACTGGAGAAAGTTTAAAATATGGAAGAAAGAAATGAGCTACAAATTGGAACCCTGGGGTTCATGGCTGAAAAACGTAGAGGGTAAGATTAAAACTGACAGTGCATAAATTTCCTCAAATATCTGTACAACGAACAAGAGGAGAAGAGAGGAACTTAATACAAACATAAGATTATTGATGTCATCAAATGCAAATATTCTCAAGCAGGCATTACGCTCTACGCAAACATTATAGGGGGAAATGTTTTTTTTTTTTACCTTTAGATATACGTGCATTACGTTTTTAGTAACAATTTTACCACTGCCATAAAAACGTAATATTAACGACACTTTCTGATTGTTATAGCCTTCTTATAATCAATTTTATGCATGTTTTCTTTGTTGGAAAGGGGGGGGGGGGCAGTTTTGACGCACTTCAGGATTTATTTACGATCCCCATTGTTAGAAAGATATGCTTCTTGTATATTTTCCCTTTGTTTTATATATATATATATATAAGTACCGATCTGGGGTCAGTTTGTAATTTCAAAATACATTTATGACGTAAATCTATGACAAAATCATTCCCTGTTTCATGTAAGTCATGTATATCTATTTAAAAAGTGTAGAATGTCTTAGGATCTTTTATTTTGTAAAGCTAGGGCATTTAAATGTGGTACATTGTCCAGAATACCTCTATTTACACACTGAATCGTGACGGGCTCGGTTCTCGCCAAGCAACCTACAAACATTTACACCGTCTTAAATTGGTGGCCAAAATTGCACACTGCATAGAGCGTTAAATAATTAAAGATTTGAAATTCAACGTACTTTTCCAGATAACTTTTTTTAAATAGCCTCGAAAGAAATAGGATTAAAATATAGGGATATTTTTTTATTCATTTTGTTGGACAAACTCATGTTTCGTTGGAGCGGATCCAGGACAAAAACTGGAGCGTGATCTGAGTAGAATGAATATGCTATTAGCTGTATGGACACAAATGAAATTAAAAAAAAAATGTATTTTTATTGACCGATTTTGCCTCAGACACTACATATATCATTGATAAAATAAATACAAGTAGTTTGCTTGACGAATAAATGAATATCTCTTCGGTATAGATTTGTGTGTTGGCCTTATTTTTTTTTGGGGGGGGGGTGTTTAGATTTGCCTCTTTAGCAATAAATAATTCAACCCAAAAATAATTATTAATGGAATCTGAAATGCCTATACTTGAATGTTTTCACTCGTCAAATTATGAAAAAGTTAAAATAGTTTGAGTAAGACATTAAAGTGTCTGAAATCTAAAGGAGTATTTATTCAGTCCATAAAATTGGTTTTCATCCACCCTGAAAAAGATATTATGCTGATGCTAAACAATAAATTATTGATTGAATCACCAGACGCCGAATCATGTCGACAAGAAATAAAAATACCCATGCAATGAAGATGACTGGCATTTATTTCGGCTGGTTTCCGCATTAAAATCAATTATTCACGTCATAGGTTCTGTTGACCAATATCTGGATTCTAAAATTACAATTCTCAATTACACGTCATCAGGATTGATTTTTGATAGGTCCTTACTCCATATGTCCGGAAAGTCTTCTGGAGCCCCTTTTACAAAACAATTTACGACTAAGACAAAAAACTTAAGTTGATTGTAATATTTTGCAAAGTCAATAATTCTGTTTAAAATTTATCTTACTTCATTCTTTTTAAAAAGATTAAAATCATTTTCAATATGATGTAAATCAAAAAAGTTATAATCAGAATTAAATATTGTCTTTAGTCGTAAGTTCTTTTGTAAAACGGGCCCCTGAACTTTTCCTAACTATTTTTGGAAAAAGTAATACATGTCGATATAACCTTATATATTTAATATGATAGCAAATTTCTGTCTATTTATGTCTTTTAAATTTTACATTTAGGTCACCAAGGTACCGGCGTCGTCTCTTATTTTGTATTCCTACGATGGCTGTTTTTCCTGAATCTTTTCATATTTCTGGTTATGTTACTGTTTGTTACTATCCCTTTCGCTGCCTTTTCAAATTACGGTTACTCGTATGCTGTCCAAGGTGAAGGGATTTCAGGCCTCGATGTAGCAAGTGCAGGGACGTGTACACCATTATACACAGTCAACGTCAGCTCTGATGCTGCAACTCTTATACAAGACTTCCTACAAGGCTCTGTAAGTAATTCTCTTCTTTCAATAAAGTTATAAATACAGTTAATCTTCGTTATCTGGAACTCTAATATCTCAAATACCGTGGATATGTCGAAGTGAGTCAAAAGTCCCAGCCGCTTTTTCTTCATGTTTTTTTTTAAACCTCGATATCTAGAAGCATTGGGTATCTCGAAGTTTTTTTTGGGGGTCCCATCGGGTTCTAGATAACGAGGCTTTAACACATGGAAATCGGAATAGAAAAAAAATAGCCAAGAATAGTAACTATTTTTCATTAATTTTGCTTTTTTTAGGGCTGGATGGAGAAGACGGCCATGTTTTATGGTTTCTATGAGAGCCAGGACTTGACCATCGGTTCGGTAGGCGACCATCGCTATAACTACGTCATGCCACTGGCTTACTTACTGACGTCAATGGTTGTCCTGCTCTTCAGTTTAATCACAATGGCTAGATAGTATGTAATACGTATATAACTTCATTTCAAAGCGGGTGTTCAGCATATAAAAATTATTCTTGTCACCCTTACTTGTGTACAATTGTCCCGAGTCCGTGCAACACTTCACAATTCAGATTTCTTGAATTGAATCTTAAAATTTTTAGAATATTGCTACTTTGTAAAGACAAAAACTTTGAAATATAAACAGCTTTGAAGTATAATTCTAAAACTCATAATTACAACAAAAGCTTTGAAATGACTTTGATATTGCCATTTTACTACACAGCACCATGCAGAGCTTCAGGGAGAATCTGGAGGACCGTAACGAGAAACATCAGTATTGTAATCGTGTGTTTGGGGGCTGGGACTACGCCCTCAGTGAAGAAGGAACAGCTTTACTTAAACACAGGAGTCTGTATAAAGACCTAGTTGTAAGCTTCCTCTTTCATTTTCAAACATCAAATACATGTACTTTTATATCCACACAGAGATCTTAAGACGAAACTACCAAAGGCTGCGCATGCACTGTGCACTTTTGGTCGGTATCAAATTCAGATATGGCATTTTCTGTTCTCGGTTTTGCTACGAATTGGCCAAGCCTCTTTGGTTCCATTTAAAAATAATGTATTAATATTAAATGGTAAAATTAATAAATGGAACTCCGATTTGTAACAGGGTGAACTAGCAGAACAACGTCACCTAGAGGCTCGAAAGAACATGAATAGCAACCAGAAATGTAAGCTGTACACCTTGAGATTTTTTATCAACTTCCTGGTGGTGTGCATTCTGGGAGGATCTGGGTACCTCATATACTGGGTCACAGCCTGGGTGACCGAGGTAAGTGTAACTGCCTTATACCCCTATAGTAAAGCAAAATACGTGTACGTGTAAAACTAGTCCTAAAATTGTTGCAGGAAAAAACAAATATGAAATACTAGTATCATGAATATGAAAAGAAATCAGATTTATGAAATAAAAAAATCATTCCAAGACAGTAATGAGGTTGCTCCGATAATACGCCAATTTTTCCATGTTTCAGTTTTTGGCTGAACCAAATTCTAGGACAGACAATGACAATTTTGTCATTCTTCTGGTGGAATTCTTGCCCTCTCTGACAATAACAGCTCTTAACGGAATTGTGCCTCTGATTTTTGGAATAGTGGTTAAGGCGGAGGATTATACACCAGAATTTACTATTAAAATCACTCTCATAAGGTATTGTATAACATCTACAGACACATTAACTGTAATACGTAATATCATAGTGAGGTATGAGGTTCTTAAATATATTTACATTGAAATGCTATCATGGAGTGTTCGTTTCCCGCATATTTTTTCACGTTTTATTCACACGTGTAGCTAAAGATGATCAACTCAAGGGACGTTATATATACATGTATATACATATAATCTAAACATTATATTTACAATCTTTGAAAATACATTCCAGGACAGTTTTCTTGAGGTTGGCCTCTTTGGCTGTGTTGATCGCCACTATATACAGAAGTGTCTCCTGTTCAGATAAAGACACCACATGTAATGTTGGACAGAATAGCTGCGATGAACTAAGAGTAAGTATGCCCCCGATCCAGAGCAAGATCATAAAGCATTTGCTGGATTAAACACAAAGTCCGGAGATTTGTGGTAATGAATTTACACCCACCAACTTTAAATTTTATGCTGCATGTAATTGAAAGTACCGGGGTATTTTAAAATTAAATAAAAATAAACAATAAATATTTAATATCAGTAACTTTTCATTTCACGTAAATCAGAAGTCTGGTAAAATTGTACATGTGCCATACGTAATGTTTTTCAGTGTTGGGAGACGTATGTTGGCCAGAACTTTTACAAGTTAATTGTGTTGGATTATCTGGTCAAAATTGGGGTGACTCTTGGATATGAACTTCCAAGAAAGTGAGTAGACATGTATAAAATATAAATTTATTTTGTCATTTTCAAATTTTATCCGAATTCCATTCAATTTTCATATGTATGTTTGATTTTATTTTAGAATACTAACAACAAAATGCGAGGCGTCTATTTGTAAAAAAGTAGGACCGGCGGAATTCGACATTCCTAAAAATGTTCTGGATATTGTATATACACAGACATTATGTTGGTGGGTTTTTTAGCGTATAATTCTCCGTTTCATATTCCTGTTATTGCAAAAAATTAAATAAAAAATTAAATAAGCTGAGATAAGCTCAAGTGTTACTCGTATGTGGTATTTTGAAGGTTGGGATTCTTCTATGCTCCTCTTGTACCAGCGCTTGCCACAATTTCCCTTTTTACTCTGTTCTACCTGAAATACGTAAGTACAAATTATAACTCAAATTTAATTAGTATTTAAATTTCCAGAACATTTGGTTCTCTTTTTAGATACACTTATTAAATTTATTTTTTATCCTTTCTATGTAGCTGTCAGCTATGTATAACACCAACCCGCCGGAAACTCCCTATAAAGCTTCCAAGTCTAACAATTTCTTTATGATTGTGTTGATGGCGGCCTTTTTCCTATGTTGTTTACCAGTGGGATACACCATGGTCAAGTAAGCTTCGTTCTAAAATTCAGTTCCAGTCAATTTTAAAGATTTATTCTTCAGTCTACTTTAAGAAAATCGAATTAGACTGATAAAAATAAAGTAATTTTGGCAACCTTTCCCCCGAGAACATAACACTTGCCTTTGTATATTGTAAGACACGAAAAAGCAGAGCTAAGACTAAGAGGGCTAATTTGTTTATACCAGGTTAACTCCGTCAAAAGGATGCGGCCCGTTCCGGATATATAGCTACATGACGGTTATTATAGACGCCACAATCTCCAACTTCCCGTCCTGGCTCCAGACCTTGGTCGGAATTTTTACCTCCGGATCTTTCATCATCATTCTGGTCGTTCTACTGTCGTCAGTATCAACTTTATTTTCATCGTCTTTGTATATTGTATTGAATTTTTCAAATCAATATAATGTATTTTGCTATTATTTCCTATTATTTCTTGCACATTGTGATTATCTTGTTTTATTTTAAGCTAATGACTTCAGATTAAACTCGTAATGGAAGAAGTTATTAAACAATGTTCTTTTTGACAGGTTGGTAATTTATTATACGTCCTCAAGATCTAGTGCACGTGCAGCCATGATTGTCATGCTGAAAGAACAGATGATTATGGTAAGCCTGATCGAACACGAACCATTTTTTTTTAAAATATACTTTCTCTTCCTTGAAACAGAGTGAGTAAATAAATGTGATTTAAATGGATACTAGCATACTAAAACATTGATTGTCGACACTTTGTTTATACAGGAAGGAAAAGACAAACAGTTCTTACTGAACCGTATTTACGAACTGACGGGAGAAAAGCCTGGGTCGAAAAAGAGGGAGTCAAAACCTCCACCCAGTCCAGGACCTCCCCCGGCTGTTAAAACTGTTAATGAGGTCAACCCAAAAAATGGGAGTGTCCCCACTGATAGTGACGTAAGTATTTTTTTTTAACAAGGATCTCCATAATTGAATTTAAAATTATTTTGTTTTTTAAATTGAACCAGTTTCGGAGCATTATGAGTTTTGATAATCGGGTTCGGTATACAATTTGTATTTTTTTTTTAGATTTGAAAAGAATTTCAAATTTACAGGGTTAGGAGAATTAGAATAGTGAACAATGGTAAATGTTTGTTTTATTAACCGAATGTACAGCAATAACTCGGCTTGACATAGACAAAAATGGCTGCTACATGTATTGTAATTACAATTTTCAGTGTAAAAAAGTGCAAGTGCTGATCTAACTTTCGTTCAAAATTTTAAATGTGATATCCATTAATGAAAATATGTGTTTAGAAAGCTAACGTTTTATTGTGTATGGTTGAAATTAATAATAATGTATCATTTTCACAACGTATAATTTGCGTTTCATCAGATTGACGAATTGTGGGCATAGGTAAAATCTTCATGAAATAATTGCACTGGTATCACCTGCTTGAATGTTGGGCTTGTTTCTGCTAACTTTACGTATACATGATCTTGTATTATCCTTGATGGCTAGCGCACAGGTTTATGGTTGTTGTCACCCAAGATTTATCAAAATATCTTATTTTAAAAGGACATCGAGACAGAACAGAAGATACTAAATCTTGAGGTTCGGTATCCAAGTTTTTATTTCTCCAAATACTGGGATCAAATTTTACACATTAGAATTAATAATGTTTTATAATCACTTTTCTTCACAAGAATCTTGTATTGCAGTTCTGTTTTTGTTTTCTAATACATTATCAACTAGTCACAATTCATATAAAGTATCTGCATGGGTTCCACGTTCGTCTGTATTTTGAGATGTTTTTATAATAGCACAAAATTCCAATTTCCATTTTTTAAATCAATATATTTATATCTTAAAATTTGATTGTACAAAACATATTCAAAATAATATATTGTACCATGGGTGAAGTCTTTAAAGTAGATTGGGAAATGGCTTACAGCGAAATTTGCTTGAAAATAAATGAATATGTACATGTATTCAGTGAATGCTGGCGAATTGTACTTACTTAGACTCCCTAGTTCATGAGCTTATACTTGTGTGCAATTGTGTGTGCATGTACTTGTACTCGTGGGTCATATTTACTGGCACACTAATTAAACGAATCAGTACTAAAATTTTCATAATTAATATGGATTCGCATGAAACGTAATTGAAAAATTTAAATTGAAAAAAAGTGTATTTTTTCTCTTTTATGTTTCGATAAAATTATTTCCTTTTTCGTTAAAATGTATTTTCAATATTGGGTGAAATGTATTTGTTATTACAGTTAAGACCCAAAGGCGATGTACCAGAATCAGTAGCATATAATGACCCGGATAATTCTACTCGAAAGTCAGCGGAAACAACATTACAAAGGGAAATAACTCCGGTAGATTGGGATCAAGTATCCGGGGAGCAGGACACCACTAGGACAAAATCAACTGTCACTGCATCGAAAGTAGCGTTCGATTTCTAATAGGGCATTGTGGTTTTCTTTTGTTTCTTTGGGACCAGGCCTTCGCTATTGACTGTGATATCATTTGTGGACAGTTTTATTTTATCATATATTTCCGCCCATTTCCTATCTGTGATTTCATATTTTAAAGATCATCATGTTTTCTGTTTTTGATAAGATTCCTCTTACTCTCGTTATGTTCTTATAGCTGTAGAATGATACTTCATCCGTCCATTATCATGTTTTAATGCAATTAACAACCGCGCCATTTATGTTTATGAAACATTTTGTTATCTATTTGTATATGTTTTATATCAATTTTAAGCAAAAGTAAGAGAATGCAAGTATTATGATTATTGATCGACTTGTATGATTATTATTAGTATCTAAATGTTTTATATCAATTTTAAGCAAAAGTAAGAGATTGCAGGTATTATGATTATTGATCGACTTGTATGATTATTACTAGTATCTAAGTGTTTTATATCAATTTTAAGCTAAAGTAAGAGATTGCAGGTATTATGATTATTGATCGACTTATGTGATTATTATTAGTATCTAAATGTTTTATATCAATTTTAAGCAAGAGTAAGAGATTGCAGGTATTATGATTATTGTTTGACTCCTATGGTTATTTCATGTACTAGTATTTAAATGCTTGTAATGAGAATTGATATATTTTTTCGTATTCAAATTGTATATGCAACTAATGTTATGCGTTCAGGAACAGTTCATTTGTGTCCTAAGCAGGGATCCCTTGATGGGCCCCTGGTATTGTTACTGTGACTGAGCTGGTCTCGGTTAACTGTGTATTTTCATATCTGTGATTTATATCAGCCTTTGAGCATTTCCAGTTTATTTGATCATTTTAATAAAATATTAATCGGTATAAAATCGAACACCTATGTTCGAATGGTTATTAATGATATGGTTTATACACGTACCATGTATATGCAATTGAAATTCCCTTACTGACAAAATCATATGCGTTGTTTATCATTGTATGAATGAGAATACCTGCTTCTTCCATTATGAAGTTTGTGTCAAAAGACTTTAAAATGTAACTTTTTTGTTTTCAATAAAATCTTATTCTTTCCTTTTAAAATATGAATTTTTGAATTCTTTGCTTTTACCTATATGAAGAATATCCGATTGGAATGAACTATAGACGAGTTGTTAAAATGAAAAGGTAAGGCGGTTAATATATAAAGGACATGCGTTTACATGTATGGACTTATATTTACTCAATATTTATTCCCAAATACATAAATGTGCTATTATTATGATGTTGTTTACACATTCTTGGGGAATATGGTATTATTGGATTAAAAAACAAAACAAAACAAAAAACTATTGTCGGTGAAGATGGCCGCGTACCCTTGTTGATTGTTGCACCTTGGACCTTTCGACACTGAACCATCCAATGCTCTACTGAGGTCCTGGCCAATCGCAACTTGTCTTCTCTTTCCGACAAGCTCGCGTATAAAAAATAATCATCTGGATAGTTTTTTCAACTTGTCAGAAATGCCCCGAAATGTTGCATTTGGTGATACTTTTATTGACATTTTCTTAATACATCATGCGAAGATTTAAAGGGTGTTGGGGGGGGGGGGGGTCACCTCCCCCGAAAAAAAAATCCCTGTGATCCGCGCATGTACGTTCATAACATTTTTTTCAGACCATGTGAATTTTACAATAATAAAAAGATTAAAGCCTCTCAAAACTGCATCAAATTTCAAAATCAAGGTCATGATGTCAAATATAATACAATCCGAAAGGTCTTCTGACAAGTGCACGTATGAAAAAAAAATTATAAAAGCCCTGTCTCTTCTGGAGCAAAAATTATGACCAAAGTTGGATTTTTTATAAGTACAATGTAGGTCAAACTTCTATGTCATAGTCATGAGTCAAAATGATTTACCTTTTTGAAAGGTAATGTGCATGTAAAATATGAAAGTCCCATCTTTTCTCATTCAAAATGAATACCAACGAAAAAAGAATTTGAAAAAGACTGTAGGTAAAACTTTAAGGTCAAGGTCACCACGTCAAAAGCAAGAGTACGGTCTTGAAACAGGTAATGCACAATTTTTTTTTTGAAAATAGTCAAGGAGTCAAAAATCATAATTTGGAAAATGTCTTGTCACAGGTAATGCATATGTCAAATATAAATGCCGTATCATCTCTCATTCAAAGGCTATGACCCATGTTAAAATTTTTAAAAAGTAGGTCGCACTTCAAGGTCACGGGGTCAAAAGTCATAGTATATTCAGAAAGGTCTTGCGACAGATAATGTAAATGAAAAATATGAAAGCCTTATCTCTTCTCCCATCAAAAGTTATGACAAAGGTAAAAGTAATATTCAATTTTTTTTGAAAAGTAGGTCAGACTTCAAGATCAAGGTCACGGGGTCACAAGTCAGTATATTTGGAAAGGTAATGTACATGAAATGTGAAAGCCTTATCTGTCATTCAAAAGTTATATAACCAAGGTTAAAACATTGCTGTGACGTCATGCCTTTGTTCTTGCAGTCTAAAAATTTACCTGTAGTCGTCCGATAATAATGATTAGCAGTCCAATAATATATTATCGGACGGCAGTGATAACAAAATCGGACAGTAGTTAAAAAACAACAACAAGAGTGAAATCAAGGTTTAATTTGTCCAGAAACCAAAAAAAAAGTTAGGGAGAAAAAGTTCAGGGTAAGCGAACGCGAGGAAATTAAGTTGTTAACAATAGCAAATCCAAGAAGAAACTGGAGTCTTAAACTTCCTCAAAAGTAACTCTTTCCATTCAGTTTTTCTTTTTTGCAAAGCGTTTTCGATACATCACTGGGAATAAGCCTATTTAAATCCATTTCTGATAAAGAACCAGTCTGCGAATCTCTTCATTTAACGAGGTTTGTTCGCCAATGACCATGATGACCGCACTTTTTAAACCCAAGATTTTCATTATATCATCCAATCAAAATTTAGATAAAAATCCGCATTATTACTTTAAATGCATTTCGAAGATATCATCCAACACTGTATCTGTATCAATGTCAAACGCACTTAATAAAAAAAAAAAATATTCCGAATCATAAAAAAAATCCCTCATCACCTGAACACTGTCCATAGTTCCTGCTAAGCCAAACGACTGCCATTGAATGAATAAAACAAAAGAGTTCACTCACTGATTTTACTGTCTTAAAAAAAAACTTTCTCTTTTCTTTTGTCTACTTATTAGATGGTTTCAGGTAGAAAACTATTGATGCCTGAACTCCTATTTTGTAATTATCGGACTCCAGGTAACTTTTGGACATTTAAATAGCAATGTTTTAAGTAAGATATATGCCTCATACAATTCTATATGTAAAATTATCAGACTGTTTTCGGCCCTAACGGGCCTCAAACAGTCTGATAATTTTACATATAGAACAGTATTCGGCATATATCCATTACTTAAAATTTTTTATGACAGACTGACAGATGAATGAGATTTAATGTCCCCTCGCTTTCGCAATTTACTTTTCAGTACTGAACATTTTAATTTATCAAGCAGTGAATGGATGTGATTATTACGGAAGCCGGTAGGTGCCAGGTAGAAAAATATTTTATCTGGCGGCCGCCAGAAACTTATCTGGCGGCCGCCATATGACTTTCTGGCGGCCGCCAGATCTTTTTATCTGGCGACCGCCAGTTGTTTATGCGGCGGTCGCCAGATAAAATTTTTTTCTATCTGGCACCAAACGGCTTCCGTAGATTATTTATCGTGGTTGATAATTTTTCCATTGTAATTTTACGCTTTGCCTGTACATTGCAGAGGAAAGAAAAACATTTTTTGTTCTATGTACATGTGACGTAGTTTATATTGGGTTTCAGCCACCCCCATTTTTTTGTATAATGTATTAGTCTGTTATAGAATTTATGATCAAAGAGAGATAACTCTTGGATGTGTGTAAATCCGGAATGTGGGGTATCTTGGGTTAAACTTTTATTGTTGCTGAAACCCGCCAAATAAACGTAACGTACTTCACCTCTCCTGTTCTTTTTAGGTAAGAACATAAATTTGTACATGTTAACATGTTTGTAACTGTTTTCTTGATATATAATATGTTTGATATAAGACATTTTGTTTCTCAAAATATTGCGATTAGGTGAATTTCAATGTATTCGCTAGTATTTTGATGCAGCATGGTCTAGTCACGTGGGTAGAGTTCAGTGAAAAGTCTTTATTTTGAGTTTAAACAATAGTGAACAGGTTATATGTACAGAATTGTTATGTTATAATCACAGAAAGTATTTGCTAAACATATAGATTTGATTTTCTAAAGAATATATACAATTTCATTTGATTCCGGAATTAGTTGAGTTGCACGGATTAGAGTCATGTTTTAGAGTAGTGTAATCTGTTTCCGGTTTGCGACAAAACGTCAACAAATACAGATGTAAATGTGTTTTGGCTGTTTCGGACATAAAGATATGGTATTATAAAATATTTTATTGATAACTTATCAAACGGAATCTACTAGCCACATGTTTTATTCTAGTCAGTGATATTTTGATGTCATAGTAAATTAGTAGTTGTAAATCCCCTAGACTAAATGAGTGTATGTATGTATAATAATGCGTATCTTGTGTTAGACTTTAAATTGTTGCTGAAACCCGCCAAATAAACGTAACGTACTTCACCTCTCCTGTTCTTTTTAGATTCTGCCAGGCCAGGGTAACATTTTGGGGGCTCGTCCGGGATTCTTATCATGGCAGAGTTGACAGAGGAAATGTTGGAGGTGAGGTCAAAGCTGATGATGGCACCACTGGACGTACTGAAGGGAATTCTGGAGGAATTCGGGGAGACTGTTGATGCTTCCAAGGGTCGACTAGTGGTGGCTATGCAGGCAGATAAATTCTTCATGAAGGAGATGGAAGGCGCACAGTCTGGAACCACATTGCTCTCAGTAAAATATACTTTAGCAGAGGCAGCTCAGAAAGAACTTGAAAAAACTGTGGGTATGAAAGCGGAAACTGCAAGTGTGAAGGATACTAAGTCTCCAGGGATTTCTGAAGAAGAAATAGAAAAGAAACCGGAAGTCAAGAAAGAAAATCCCACAGCGGTAAAGCTACATAAGGACTTTAAAATCAGTGGCCAGGTTGATTGTAAGGCAGGGATATCTTACACAAGCCTAATTCGACAAATTGAAACTGGTAAACAGAAGGGATATTCGGAGGTTGACATTATTGATGGGGTGATCAAGGCAGTTGTTCCATCCTCGAGTCTTCGTAGTTACCTTGATGGACGACCTGACATAAATCTGGCTACTCTGAGGAGTATTCTAAGAGGACACTATGCAGAAAAAAATGCTACTGAGTTGTACAGTGAACTTGCCAGCGCGACCCAAAATCCGAAGGAAAACCCTAATGATTTCCTTTTGCGTGTGATGGACCTCAGGAACCGGATTCTGTTTGCTTCGCAGGAAGATAACAGTGAACTCAAATACAGTCCAGAACT